CGCGGCGTCAGTTTCCCCGGAGCTGTCACTTCTCTTCCGGGGCGCCCGCCTGGCACATGGTACCGCTGCGGGGCGGGCGAGAGTCGCGGGGTCGCCTACGGGTTGGGCCGCCAGGCCGTCGGTGGGCTTCGGGGAGCGCGGAGTCTCCCGGAACTAGCTCCGCGGCGTCGTCTCCTGGGGACGGACGACCTCCTTGGCCCGTCGATCCGGCGCTCGGGGGATGCCGGGTGGAGAGACGCTTGCTGCGGCTGCGATGCTGGAGGAACCTGAGACTTCAGGACCTGCAGTCTTGCTCCTGCCAGACGTTTTAAGTTTTCCCGGACACTCTGTGCCAGCGAGCCTGCCGGGTGGAGCGGTGGGTCGTTTTGCAGTGAACTTTGGCAAACTCGTTTGCGAGTGGGTCATTCTTCAGACGCACTTGGGGAGAATGGAAGCCGCGGGTGTTGGGCGTCCCGTGCTGTGCAGGGGCCTTTCCCGGTCCAGGAGCTGGGGTGCCCGGGGTGGGCCTGCACCTCGGTCGATCCCCACATCCCACCCCTGTGTGCAGCGTGGAGCCCAGCCCGCTCTGGAACCAGCCACATGTGTCCCAGAGCCGAGAATTCCCCTCCCGTTTTAGGTGGGAAACGCCCAAAAGGTGTAAGGAAGCTTTGGGGGTCATTCCAGAAAGCAAACAGGCCAGCTGTGGCCTTGCTCACATCCACAGAGGTCTCCTGTTTTATCACAGCCACAGATCAGCTTCAGGTGAGTACTTCCTTGTTGAGGAGTTGTTTTGGTGTCAGGCTTTGTTTGGGGGTAGGGTCTTGTCACCAACCTTGAATCCTTCCTCTGGGTATTGCAAGTCTTTGGAGTTATGAATCTGGATTTAACAGACACACCAAAACTTAGGCGTTCACAGGACTGCTCCGTTCAGAGTTATTGTCCCAAATATAATGTGTGTATTTCCTCAGTCCCCTTTGCCAAGACTTCTTTAGAACTTCTTGGGTAGTGAATATGCCAGCTGTATGAGAAAACCAGGCTTGTTTGATAGTCACACCCTCTGTTTGACGGAAGGTAATGAAGGTTATCTTACCCTCCTTGGTAGCTCACTCACTTAGCAGGCTAGACTCTAAGTGACTTGCAGCAGTTTTTCAAAGTGACCGCCTCGAGAGGAGGAAGAGTTGCCGGCACTGAGGGCATCAGGAGAACATCCTCAGGTTCTGACAGCCACTCAGAGCAGTCCCAGCATACTGTGTGCAGCAGCAGAGTGGTTGGCATCCTGTGCAGCCTCCCAAAGTGGCTGCTGGGAAGGAGATGGCACCTGCTCTTGTGCCTGAATGCTGGTATGGTCTTTGGCAAGTGAGGCACTTAGTTTACACTTCTTTCTGGCGTGCAGCAGGTAGTTCCTCGAGGAATGAGGTTTGCCATGTATTCAGCAAGTGTTTATCAAGTGTTGTCTGTCCACTGCAGTAGGCATCAGAGATACAACAGCAGACACGTATCTCATTCCCTGGGCAAGTTCACCATCTTATGGCTCGGAACCAGCCGAGAACCCTCAATCACGGGGTGATTGTGAGAAGACCCAACTGAGCAGATGGTGAACATGGGAGCTAGTGAGGCAAGACCTTCCTGCTCATTGCTTACACTTAGGCCACTGTCTCCCTTCTGGGTCTGGCATGGATTGCACTCAGTCATCTGCCAGGTCTGATGCCCAGGGAGGCAGCTAACCTGGCCAGAGAGGGGCCTGGAACCCCAGCCCCTCCTGAATCCCAGGGACATTCCTTCTGTGCCACAAGACGTGACTCAGTTGCTGCTCATAAACAAGTAGGTCCATGGTCATGCTATTTTCTACAGGTGTTCGTTCACCTGTGTGGCCTCTGTTGGTGAAATCCTGAGGGCCCACAGGAAAGGCGAGGGTTTGGCCCCTTCCCAGGAACCTTGTCAGGGCCTCCTGAGGGTGGCTGTGTGTCCCAGGGCTCATGCCAGCTGTGATTGCTAGCTGTTCCCCTTTCGGTCTCATGACTGTCCCAGTTTAGAAGGTAAATCATGTAGTTGTCCTACTGAGTGCCAGCCCTTGCTGAACTCAGGAACAAAGAAGTGAGTCTGAGCCCTCCCACTTAGGTACTGGGGCAGGGTGGGCGTGAGGGTCTCTCAGCAGACTTTGCAAGCAAGTAATGCAGTACAGTGTGGGGTGTGTGGATGTGTGCTAAAACAGTGCATGCTCCATTGAGGTGGGAGTTCTCTGTGGGTCCGTGGATAGGCCCCTGCAAACTTTGAACTCCTGGCAGGGAAGATGAGTTATGTGTGTCTAGGCTTCCCAGGGAGAGGGGGGGAGTCCTGACCATCACATCTGCAGTGTAATCCACGACCCCTGGAAGACACCACTGATGTAGAGTCCTGGACTGCCTGCCCAGCCACTTGGCAGGGAGTGCTGAAAACTGCCTTCAGGGAGTCAGGAGACATTGACTTTGCATCCCTGAAATGTTGACGTTACTTCATAAATCAAAATGTGTGGGGCATGCATGCCCACCAAGTCCTTCAGAAGATGGTTTTCTATGCCCAATACACCAGCTTCAGTTTAAAGGTGGTACACCTTGGGGGGGGGGGTTGTTTCTTTATTGGGTTCATGTCTAGTTTGAGTGCCAAGTATTAGAGCTTTAGGTAAGTTTAAAGTCATAGATGATATCACCACTTGGACCTCCATATGGCAATAACTATAGGTCATACCATAACTTGCCTATCTTTTGTGAAAATGTGTGTTCTGGGTTCTAGAAGGGCTGAAGTAGGAGTATAACTGGACCAGCACAGAACTCTCAAGGGAGAAGAAAAGGGGCAAAATCCACAAGTCTAATAGAAGACCCTAACTTACGCATGGTCTGTGTTCCAAAATGAATTTATAAAATCTATTTGGAACTTGGGTACCACTTTCCTACAGAAGCAATCGTTAAAAGTGGAGTGGGTTCCCAGGCAGGGAATGGTGGTTCCTCCTTCCTGGCCTAGGCATTGAGCTCATACACATGCTCACAGCGCGGCTGAGCTGCAGTCCCAGTAGCCACGTGACCTTAGTGTACTTTTCTACCAAGGGAACAACACTTATTTAGGAGGTTAGTGTGAGGATTCAAAGAGATGTCAGAAAATGACTTAGTCAGGTACCTGACAGTCTGTCAGCAAATGGTGGTGGCTGTTGGTTTTATTGTGAAAATTGTTTTAATCTTTTGTTTTTTTTTCTTTTTTTAAGTTGGGGTCTCACTGTCACCCAGGCTGGAGTGCAGTGGCACGGTCACTGCTCCCCATAGCCTCGACTTCTGGGCTTAGGCGATCCTTCCGCCTCAGCCTCCTAAGTAGTTGGAACTACACGTGTGTGCCACCACACCTAGCTAATATTTTGATTTTTTTGTGGAGACAGGGTCTTGCTATGTTGCCTAGGCTGATCTAGAACGCCTGACCTCAAGTGATCCTCCTGCCTCAGTCTCTCAAAGTGCTGGGATTATAGGCATGAGCCCTTGCACCTGACCAATAATGTGGTCTTACATTAAGTAGATGCTCAGGTGACACAATGTTGAGTGACACAATGAATAATCACACCTGAGTGCTTCAAGAGACTTGCACTGAATCTGACAAGAGTGACGAGAGTATTGTTTCTATAAGCTGAGGATGACATCTGCTCACCTCGTGTTAATCCGGTTTAGAATACATGTCCAGCACATGCTAGGCACATTATCAGTGGCATCTCGTCAGACCCTATTACAGACCCCTAAAGTGGACACTGCTGTCTCCATGTTTCAAATGGAGAAACTAAGGTCTGGAAAGTTTGCATATCTTGCCCGAAATCCTAAACCCCGGAAGCAGTAGAGCTGGAATTCAGGTTTTGACTCAAAGCCCACACTGTTTGCACCGTTCTTGTGTCCCACGAAGGAAACCGCACACACACCTACAGGCAGCCTCCCTTGACTTTTTGGCTGCTGCTAACCTGGTTTCAGATAGTTAAAGTTAGATGCTCCTTTTCTTCCATTTTCTAGCCTAGCATTTCATTTTATTTGTCAAAATAAAACAATTTAGGCCAGACTCGATGGCTCAGCTTATAATCCCAGTGCTTTGGGAGGCCAAGGTGAGTGGATTGCCTGAGCCCATAGGTTCAAGACCCGCCCGGGCAACTTGGTGAGACTTCATCTCTACAATAAATCAAAAATTAGCCGAGCGTAGTAGCATGTGCCTGTAGTTCCAGCTACTTGGAAGGCTGAGGTGGAAGGTTTGCCAGAGCCCAGCAGGTCGAGGCTACAGTGGCCGGGAGCATGCTACTGCACTCTAGTCTGGGCGACGGAGTGAGACTCCAACTCAAAAAATAAAAAATAAATAAAACAATTTGGCTGGGTCTGATCATGGCAATGAAATCAAAGTGCGAGCTAGTGTGCACATGGACCCCAGGAAGGGACCGGCCATGGATGCAAATCTGCAAGGTGGCGTGTTACAAAGTCACATGGACTCGTGCAGGTGTTTTCTGCAGAGCAGTCATCATGTGATTTTTAACCCTTTGCACCAGAGACATCTTGCAGATCACCTACCAGCAACTTGACCATACTTTGTTAGAAATAGTGAAAATAAATTGCTTTTATAGCACCATTGAAGCCAATTATTTTATTGTAATGATATCTGGCTTATAATGAAATTTTGGACATTGAGCAACTTATTTATGACAAAAATCAAAATTTTATCTCTTATATGTGTCTAACGTGGTGGCACCGTGTGAAACAGTCACCGACATGCATTGCTGGTTCATTGATACATGTTGTGTGGTAATAATTTGTTTGACGTCTTCCACCTGGTGCGCCTTTGTTTGAGCAGACGGTACAGTCTCATCTTCCTCCCACGTTAACAATTGTCATTTAATAGCCGAGCTTGGTGGCTCAGCCTGTAATCCCAGCACTTTGGGAGACTGAGGTCAGTGGATTGCCTGAGCCCACGGGTTCAAGACCCGCCTGGGCTACTTGGCGAGACCTCATCTCTACAATAAAAATCAAAAAGGCGGGCGTAGTAGCGCACGCCTGTAGTGCAGCTACTTGGAAGGCTGAGGCGGAAGGATCGCCGGAGCCCAGCAGGTCGAGGCTGCGGTGGCCAGGAGCGGTCACTGCACTCG